GTTTTCGTGATTAGACTAGGCTATACATCACTAGCTAGTTTAGTTGATGGAAACACTAGGTTATTCCAAATGCCGGTGGTAATACCTTAGAAACAAGAAGCATCGTGCCTACCTTGATTAGCTCTGTGAATGGATGATTTGTGTCTATGCGAATTGGTTCCTTTGTTATTTAGACTAGGCTATACGCCATTAGCTAGTTTGAATATTGAAAGTACTAGGTTAAACCTAATGATGTATGAACCCTAGAATGGAGTGGAGAGAACGATAGTTTGACGGTGAACATGTAGCCTGATGATTATGATGGAATTAGTGTTAGTGTATGCCCTAGGAACCAATCGTGTTGTCAGTTTCAGGACATTATATCTTGTAAATTTATTATGAATAGCAGAAAGTGTTCTTATTTCACATGTTGATTTACTACTTCGTTTATATTATATTTAATATTGCATGTGAAATGTCCGGATGACACAAATCTTCAAAAGATCAAATCATCGAAGTATTCCCTATGCAGGTAATGTTAATTAGGCAATAACATTGCATAGTAGGCATGCTAAATGTCTCCATTGAATATCATGTGATGGTATTAGCGTGGGTGATTATAAGAGGTATGCCACTAAGACATTAGCATGGATAAAAGGTTAGTAAACCGTTTATCGAATATGACCGATTACGATGAATCATATGAACGTGGTCAATGATGCATCGTAGGATCGTGCTAGTATACCACTGATCCTTAGACCTGAGATATCACAGTTGGAATCAACATAGGATGCATATGGTTTATATGGTGTACAAGCACGAGACTAGTCATGTCTTGTGTAATAAGTTGGTTTGGTCATATGTAATTCATTTGCGAGGACAAGTGATGGTCAAGATAGGATCCGTTAACTCAAAATAGTCCAATTTCGAGTTCTTAGACGAATGTCAATAAAAATTGGAAAAGGGAAATCTCTGGCCAGAGTATAATGAATGTCAGATGAAAAATAGTTTCATGTTGATGAGTTCCATATCGATTGACAATTCGATTAAAGATTAAGTTAAGGGTTTTGACATACCATGAACCATTCTTAATCAGGATTAGATGACGGAAGGATTTTACTACACAGTACGTACGATCAGAAAAGGGTTCATTGGAGTTTACACTTCATTGTGGTTTAGGGGTTATGGAACATTGCTAGACGTCTACCATAATCAGTGGGAGTTCCGATGATAAAGAGTTATAATGAAACATATCGAAATCCGATATTGGGCTGATGCGTGCAAATGCAACACCTAATTTTACCTCACTAAATTCTAATGCAAAGTCGTGTAGTAGCAAAGAGCAAGTAAGGGTCTTTCCCGCAGAGGATTTGTGAACTCAATTAATTATCTACTTCAAATAGGGTTTGCATTGAATTATAGAAATTGAACAAAAAACTATCAAACTAAAATCAAACAAAATAAAACAAGCAGACAATCACGAAAGAGATAAATAAGAGAAACTGGAGGAAGGTTTATTCACACAACTAGACATGAATATATAATAAAAACACTTTTAACTTTTACCCTATATCACATCGCCAGAAAATACCAAACGTTGATAAGTTCTACTCTCTACTGAGTCGTTGGATTAGACACGGTCAAACCTAATTCCCTATTTATGATAACCTAGGATACAATCTTAGATTCAAAGTAAATAAAAGCATTAAGTTACGAGAGAGACCTACTGAATCAAGGCTAAACTCATACGGTCGGTTTAGTTATCTTGAGTGATTACCCCCATGTATGCAGGCATACACTTACCACTAGTCATTTAGGTTAAAAAGCGATTTTGTACTAAACAACCTAAATTGGCATTAATAAATAATCCTAACTATTGAATTGCGCACTTAAACAATTAGACAAATCTATCTAAACATATTCATAGAGAAATAATCACATAACCAAGAGGGATCAAAAGATAAATAGATGCAGATTTTATTAATCACAAGACATGTCTGGTTTTGAAATCAACTTAATCACAAAAGAATTAGTTCTTCATGAATAAATATGAGATAATATTGTATTATTCATAACAAATAATAATAACAAGAAGAAGAAAAACTTAGTGAAATGGGTGGATTAATGAAGTTGATGATGACTCCTCCAATTCTTCTTATCCAGCCTTCTTAATCTCCCTTTTCTTAGTTCTTGATATCTTTGTTCTCCTTTTTTTATCTCTAAAAGAATTCTCCCAAATAATGCTAAAAGATTTTATATATATCCCACAAGGGTTAGGGTTTGTTTTCTTAATTCTAGTTAGTTAGGACTCTAAAACCCTATTTTCTTAGTCAAAAACGAAAGAAAAGTTCCAGCGTTGTGACTGTGCTGCGGCACTATATGCAGCACAGTAGCTACTGGAAAAGTGGCGGCAGTAGCTAAGTCTTCTTCCCGCATCATTCCCCTATTCTTCAAGATGGTGATTTTGAACTCGATAAAGACGGAATTTCGAAAAGTGGTAAACATATGAAATGTAAGCCTTTGAAAAATATTTCCAACGGTCTAAGAATCGTTAATCCAGTTCTACAATTCAAGATATTCTCAAAATACCGAGGCATCTCAAGCTGGAACGTAATCTAGAATCTTCTCTTTACTTCAACTTCCATAACTCTTCAATTCAACTCCGATTCTCAATCCATTTGTTTCCGGTCTCATAAATTCTCTCGCCAACATCATTCTCATCCAAATATAATTTGAGCCTCATTCCTTGAAAACACAACAAAAATACCGTGATCCCTAAAAGTGCATTTATGAAACAATTAAGTTAATTCATGCGAATTAATCTTAATTTCCAACAAATGATACCTATAAACCACTAAGTTAAGTATTTTCAAGCACTTACATGGGCCCACAGCTAGATCATAGGAACCAAAATGGTCACACTAAAACCAAGCTCAAGAAGAGAGAGTAATGCATATCATTAATTGGATTATGATGTTCGGACGTAAACGGTTGCATCCACTTAATGTATTGTAGACAATATTATCCATAGATAGCTAACACTAACAAGGTAATAAGGATTTATTAAATATTTTACTGAATCGGATTAATAAGGGGACAAAAGTGCATTGGTTTTATTCTGAACATTTAGAATATTAATAGGATTGAAATTGGGCTAATTATAAACTAACCATATAAAACCAAGGACTTGACATAAATGCTCTTTTCCAAATTAATTTTAAATTGTTTGAAGACTTCCCAAGACAATTAAAATTACACTTTTGCCATGGTATATAAACCAGTGTTATACCATTTCATTCAATTGAAACAATTGAAACAAAATCACTCTCTAATTTTCCCTCTCACTCTCTTGGCCTCTCTTCCTTGGCTTGTGTGGATCACATTTCGAGATTCTTCAAGTTAGTTGAAGAACTAAGACTCAAGAAAGAAAATTCAAATTTGAATAGCAAAGGAGTAGGTAATATTTCATCCTTACCTTAAAATTTTTTGGGCTTGTATGTTATGTTTGTGTCTCTACCATCATCTTGTTCATTATTTTTACAATATTTCCATGTCCAAAATGCATGAATCCCAACAATTAGAGCCCTAGACCCTTTGCATATAGCTAGATTTAGGTATACTTTAATGTCGTTTTTGTTTTCTTTATTTCAATTCTGTGTACTTTCACCAAGACATAGTTTCTAGGATCATGAGAGCACTTTAGTCTTGTGGGATCGACCTTACTCATGCACTTTGCTGGATTGCAACTCGGGCACTTGCAAAGGATTAAACTTTGTATCTGTCAAAGTGCTAATCAATATTTTGGTAGGAATTTAACTAAAAATAACAAAAATTTATATACAACATAACTGTCAAACTAAATTAACTGTATTATTCAAGTGAAATTCATATAAAAAAAATTCAGAAACCCAAACAACACAACATCCAGCAAACCCATTGAAGTTTTTTGATCTCTGCTAAAATTTAACAATTAAATCATATACGTCCTTTTCACAAATCCGCACACATTAAATCCAACAAATGCAAAACACCCTTTTCAAGAAGAATCCTCAAATCCTCCAACCACTGAAAATCCACAAAAATCACAAACCCATAGACCATAAGATCCAAAGAAAAATGTGCACGAAAAGAAAGGGTTGCAGGTTACACCGACATCACAACCTCCAACGTAAAAGGAGAGATGATGGCGAAGAAAGGATAAGAATAAAAAAAATAATAATAAAAAAAATAAAAAGAAAAGGAAAAGAGAGAAGTGAAAGGAAGGGAAAGGGAAAGCTACAGAGACTGAGATTTTAATTTTTACGTTTTGATTTCTAAGGCTTCATGTAAATTGACCATTCTACCATTTTTCAATATGGAATTTCCTAAGAACATAACAGTGGGTGAGAAGTGTCATTTGAAACTTCATCGGCGGAAAGTGTTTCGCCAAACCATGGTGGGAAAATGTCGCTCTCCCTTATATTTGATTAAATTATAATAATTGCCTGCATTGTAGAGGTGCTAATAGGTTTTACTCGTTTCATTCAGTAAGTGCTTTATCACTCTGAGAGCGGAAAGAATTTTAATATTTCAACATTCAAGATCAAAATTTCCTGACTCAAAATCAAAATATGAAATTTGGATTTGTCAAAATGAGCAAAATTACATAAAGATTCAAGGACCTTTTTAATATTAGTTGGCTGCTATCAACCAACGGGGCCCAGGATGCTCTTATGTGCCAAAAATTAGAAAATATATATACAGCCCACTTTCTTTTCTGAAGTATAGAAACATTTACAACTTGGCTCCAAACTTTCTGCAAAAGTAAAACCGTGCGAAGGATGTGCTTTATTACTCTGTCACAATCAAACCACAGCTGCTGCATATAATTGCCATCTTTCAAAGGAGCAGACCAACGGAGGAGCTTAGTGGGGTTGTGGCCGTGTCTGGACTATGTAGATTCTTGCCAACCAGGCATCCTTCCACACTGTGGACACCAAACTTCCTCTCGAGAAAAAAACCAACCGAAGACAGGCGCTGACCAAGCTGCTGACGAAAATTGGTTCAGTTGTCAATGGTTTCTCGCTATAATCTACTGTCAAATGAATAACTTCTCCATCAGCAGAACCTGCACGAGATACCAGCAGCTCCTCACTGAAATTGGCAAATGCCAATGTTCTTACCTGCCCATCAAACTTCCCAGAAGACATCGCCAAGGTGGGCCTCGAGTACCTGAAGCTGGGTTTCACCAAGCCCAGGGGCAATCTCAGCCTCTACAGAACTATTGTCAGAGTCTGTTGGGCTGAGGTGTGGAGCACAAATGAAAGTTCAGGGAAAGCATTTCTTGCACCAGAATAGCCATCGCAGCCTCCTTCTGAAGTACACCAGCAGCTCGAAGACTTAAAACTGTCTGCGAGTGTAAAGTGAAGCCCAGACTCGAGAATGGCATTTGCAAATACTGTCGGATTGAAGGGCTAACATTTGGGATGAATCATATAGTCCAGCAGCTGACATTCCAGCCAAATCCTCAACATTGGCACTTGAAGGACAATTAAACGAGCATCACTTGGAAATATTCTTCAATGCTTTCCACGGTGTCTTAGGGGGCTGTAGAGAACTATTATATCCTGAAGTTCACAACATAGTTGTCAAGTTACCTCCATCCCTCTGCTGTTTCTATTCTTTCTAGAAGAGACATGAATTTTTCCATTGATTTGCTTTGTTCTAGAGCTAATTCCATAGAGCCAAAAGGTATAACTAATCCTGCAGGGACACAAAATGAAGCTGGCACCCCCTGTTCATTATAAACTGCCATCAAGAAAACAACACCACAAAATTAATTAAAATTTAGCACTCAAAATTACATGTACATCAGGAACAGGAAATATGCCCTTAATATGTCAAAAGTTTTTCCTATAGCATAAGTTTAAAAGACATAGACAGTCACACATAAATTTAGAAAATAAGCTTCTTTTACCCTTTAGAGAGTCTTGAATTCATTCAGTACTTACTTTTTTGTAAAATTAAAGGAAATTCAGGTCTGTCAGGACAAATGCTTGAAATATTGCAGTTCTAAGCAACTATGATGGATACCAACCTATACTTAACAAGCACAAGTAAGAAAAAAATAAAGATTGCCTGAACATCATGTTTATGAGACAGTTAAGCTTAGCATATTTTCAAATGTTGATGTGAGGATAAGGATGTCATGTTGGCATGATTTATGATGATGGATTTAGAAGCCTTCATCTGAAGGTGAAGATAGATTATAACCAAATTCAATGTCTTGAAGAAGGAATAAAAGGATAAACAAACTTTTTATTAAGTGCGTGTTGGAACCCTCCTGCAACACAGAAACTCACGGCAACCAACACACACATACCACATGGCAATAGGCACAAGAATAACTAATGACAGATTGTATTAATGGATACTGAATGAAAGAACAGAACAAATGCAATTGGAAAAAACAGTAGCTCCAGCAATTGAGGAGCTGGGGACCTCCACCCAATTTCCAGAAATAAACTTGATATCCTACTCTCCACACTCTCTCCCTTTATAAGCTAGTTATTCTCTTTGTAACAGAATTGACAGCCACCTGTCCAGCCACCTGTCCAGACTCATAACAGACTCCACAATCCTAACCGCTTTTATTGCACACCTCAACCCCTGAAACAAACTCACACCAACACCTCTTTATTCCTATTCCTCCTTTGCCCTGGATTTATAGACCTTTGTATGGGAGGTCTAAAAGTGCGCATTCAACAGTAACAAGCCTGTTTTATCCAGACAATGATGGCATAGATTTTGTGAACAGACAGTATCACAAAAGATGATCTCACATATAGATCAGACACTTGGGTTTCGTTGTTGAAATATGCTGGGATGCTCAAGTTGGTTCATTTTTTTAACCATGTAATGTGCAAACAATTTATATTTTGATGCTTGATGCAAGAGTCATATAAAAAAATGTTTAAAGATAAAAATAAACTGTATATTTGTGGTAAGAAGGTACCAAACAATTAACCTTAACCAATTCTACTTTTTTAGTAATTAAAGAAACAAAAAAATTAAAATAAAAAATCAATTGCCCAATATTTAGTATATATTAACTGGTTGAGGTCATCCTTTCGTAACACAAGACACTAGGATCTTGCAAACAACAATTTTCATTTTAATATCTGTTTTCAAAATTCCAAATATTTCTGAAAAAAAAAAAAAAAAAAAAAAAAAATAGTTTACAAAAATCAATATCCTGCTTACTCAATAATATCAAAATTTGGATATTTAACTTTAAATAAGAGAAAATTTTACTTGGGGACTATTAAAGTTAAATAGATTATCTAGCCACAAGCAATTTATAACTATTGACAAAGTAATGAACAAAATGCTAACTAAAGGCAATGATCAATTGCTAAGAAAAGAAAAGAAAGTGGGAAATGTATCAAATTGCTAAGAAAAGAAAAGAAAAGTGGCAATGCTTCAGTAAATTAAAAATACTTGAAAGGGAACAAATTATAAGTCCTTATGTGGCCAGTTGAAATCATAAATATCCAAGCATAAGATTTCCTTGAAGAAACCCAAAATTACCCTATCAGATCTGCCGCCAAGGAAGCAAACAACCACATGCTGCAGCCTTTGCAGAATTTACAGCATCTGCATCTGCAAGTGTAAAACTCCTAGAGAACCACCCTGGATGAACACAAAACTTCTTATCAATTTGATGATCACAATTGTCAGTATGCCAAACTACAATGAAGAGATAGGAAAGCACAATCGTACATGACTCGATGAAAGGGCACTAATAGCAGACAAAGATGTGACATCAGCACTAGGGCTTCAGTAGTAGACAAACCAGTACCAGAAAGATTTTTCAAAACAGAATTGTTCCGCTATCACTGGTGAAGATGGTAATGTTACACCTGTTGAGATGCCTCCAATCTGAAAGACAAACAAATAAAAGCATCAAAACATCATCAATGAGAAAAAGCTTTTGAAAATCTAAAAGAAAAAGTTACAAACTAAATTTAGCACAAGATAAGGAAATAACAGATAAAATCACCTCACATATTTTCCAGCAAATTTTTTTATGTCAGCAATCTTATATCATCTTCACATGTCACAAAAACAACCTTCTCCTGCAAAGATAATTTAGAGTATCAATTTTTGGAGTTTCTACAGCGACATTAGTTCCTATTAATTCAAAGGAAAAGGAACTTACTTGCCGGCCCTAACACCAAGGTGGGATAAGTGAGGTGCTCCTGCAGAAGTATAACACCCAGTATGGTACTACCAGTAGCCGTCACCTGCCAACAAAATATATAACTGTTAAATTCATATGTACTTTATGCTATACAGATTTGAATCTAAAATACAGAAGGTAAGAAATATAAGTTTATAACGATTGAGACCTCTTCATCTCCATCAGCTTTGTTGACTACAAGAACAATAGGTCCTTCTACAGATTTGGGCAGCAATCCTGGGATGATTCTCTAACCTGAAGTAAAAGGAGGCCAAAATAATATTGAAGTAAAAACTAAAAAATATAAGAAAAGAATTGGAAAAAAAGGGCCAAAAAGTATGAGAGGGGGATAACCTACAAGAGTTGATCCTAAAAACATAAAGGACCACACTTATTATGCTAGCTAGTCAACTATATTTAATTAATGTGGGTCTGTCTTAAACTTTTTTTTTTTTTCCCTTCTTACGTCCAGAAGAAGAATGGAATAACAATGGACTTGTAGCACCATCAGCAAGAAGCACTATGATTGGTTTTTTTATCTGATTTTTGACTGGGAAAAAATATTTAGGCTCTGAGAAAGAGCTCATTTGAGAGGACTGGAAGGATCTTCCACTCCTCCCTCACTTCATAGAACATAAAAAGTAATTTAATACTTCACATGGTAATTCTATTGGCCCACAAAATCAAACTAAAGACATCCCTTTTAAAAAGTTTTAAAATACTATTTGTTTTCAAAACACCCCAAAATTCCATGATTACCTTCATTCAATTTTTTCTTTATAATCTTCACTCAAGCTATTTGCCCTGCACTATCATGTTCTTCCCAAATCAAAATCTCATGTATTCAATTTGAATGTTGAAAGGAAATTAAAGCTTATATATATATATCAGAAATAATTTACTCATATTATAGAAATTAACTCTTTTTTGTGTCTAAATGGACAGTTGTAGCCTTTCAAGAAAATTTATTGAAAATATAAGCCTAGAAATTGAGATATTTTGGGGATCGATGACAAAACTAAATATATAAATTAAATTAAAATAAATACATTGAGAAGCATTACGAGCTTAAAATTTTATATTGTTGGTAACAGAATATCTCTCATCACAAAACATCTTTCTAACTAAAACAACTACATTTTTAGTTCTCAAAGGCATTTTACTGAAGTAGGGATTGAATGAGAGTATACAAAACTAACGTATCAAAGAGGGGTGTCAAAAATGTTTATAGGTAAGAAGAAATTAATAGTAAATTTAGTAATATAAATTAAAAAAAAAAAATTCGTAAATATAAAAATATTAGAAATTGGGGCTTCTTTAACTTGATAATGGGGCCAACATAGCCACTCATATATAACTTCTTCTCTAAGTAATAAAATTTTGTCCTTTCCTAACAATATATTGTCATACAGTAATACGTGTGTACACACACAAACCTAATTTGTAACACACGTACAAACACAAACCTACTCCTCTCCTTTCTTCATTTCAATGTTGCAAAATTTTATCTAATCCAAAAAGTGCAAGCATTGTACCAAGTTACGTTCCGAACCTCCTTAATGTTTTTACTTGCTTTCATTTTTTACTTTATTTATTTTTTGATAAATTCCAAAATTAACATTTTAAATATCTCAAATTGTGTGGAAGTCGAACATCAAAAAAGTATCGAAGACAGGAAATAGAATTAACAAGAAATATATGTAACATGACCATAACCATAAAAATTCTTTTAGAGAACTACTAATACTTGCACAAATGTAACATCTATATGAATTTGCAATCATTTAATTTAGCAACCTAGCATNACTTATCATGGGCCCACAGCTAGATCATAGTGAACCAAAATGGTCACACATAAAACCAAGCTCAAGAAGAGAGAGTAATGCATATCATTAATTGGATTCATGATGTTCGGACGTAAACGGTTGCATCCGACTTAATGTATTGTGAGCAATAATTATCCATAGATAGCTAACACTAACTAAGGGTAATAAGGATTTATTAAATATTATTACTGAATCGGATTCAATAATGGGGACAAAAGTGCATTGGTTTTATTCTAAACAGTTAGAATATTTAATAGGATTGAAATTTGGGCTAATTATAAACTAACCATAAAACCAAGGACTTGACATAAATGCTCTTTTCCAAATTAATTTTAAATTGTTTGAAGACTTCCCAAGACAATTTAAAATTACACTTTGTGCCCATGGTATATAAACCAAGTGTTATACCATTTTCATTCAATTGAAACAATTGAAACAAAATCACTCTCTAATTTTCCCTCTCACTCTCTTGGCTCTCTCTTCCTTGGCTTGTGTGGATCACATTTCGAGATTCTTCAAGTTCAGTTGAAGAACTAAGACTCTAAGAAAGAAAATTCAAATGTTGAATAGCAAAGGAGTAGGTAATATTTCATCCTTACCTTAAAATTTTTTGGGCTTGTATGTTATGTTTGTGTTCTACCTTGCATCCATCATCTTGTTCATTATTTTTACACTATTTCCATGTCCAAAATGCATGAATCCCAACAATTAGAGCCCTAGGACCCTTTGCATATAGCTAGATTTAGGTATACTTTAATGTCGTTTTTATGTTTTCTTTATTTCAATTCTTGTTACTTTCACCAAGACATAGTTTCTAGGATCATGAGAGCACTTTTAGTCTTTGTGGGATCGACCCTTACTCATGCACTTTGCTGTGATTNCAGCGGTTCCTGGAACAAGAACATCCCAACCCTGAGAACCAAGTGCAGTTCTAACAGATTTCAGAAGAACAGTGCAGAGCTTTGAAACCTGAAAAATTATCCTGCAGATAAAATTTTCCATTTGAAAGTTAGATATAACTCATTATCTAAAGGATTAATCAAAAGAGTCTAAGCAACATAAGAAAGTCCCACTGCAATTTATATTCACAAAAGGACATAGGATTGACATTTTTTTGAATTAAAGCATACCCAGCTCGAATCTCAGCTTCAGTGTACGTCCTTACACTATTCTCAGGAATTCCAAAAGCTTTTCCTAGAATCTGAAACAGCCAGGGAATCCCTTTTAGTACCACAAACCTTTTAAATTAAAACATAGTAAATTAGCATGTGCTCTAAAAGTAGTCAATTGACCTTTGCACAAAGCAAAAAAGAAAAAAAAGTAAAAGCTAATAGATATTATTGTTTGATGACATACCATGATAGTATAAAAACTGTATTGCACAGCGCAGAAGAAAACAAAAATAAGGAAAAAAGAAAAAGAAAAACGGATGAATGGAAGGATCAACTATACCTCCACTTTTGGTGGAAATATTTGAAGAAGTACTTCCGAATACTCCTCTGTAAGTCTTCTTGCTCTGTCAAGGGTAGCTTTAAGCCTTAATAGCCAAATTATTTTGCCATCTTCACTCCCTTCACAAACAGAAAGAAACCATGGACATAAAGAAATGCTGATGCATGGTTTTGTAATTGATCATGTATTTTGAACGTTTGCAGTCAAAAAGATGAATTACATACCTTCCTTCACAGAAAGACCTGTCTCTTGCCAGGCAAGGAGTTCATTCCTAATAGCAGAACATTCTTCTGGCCTCCAACCAGATAAACCTAGCTGACTAACACCAACAACTAGGACACCAAGTGCGTCATTCCAAGAGCTTACATTTTTTGATTCCACATTCTCAGCAAGCCAGTGAGCTCCTCCTTTAGCTTCTACTGCATTCAGGAATCTACATTCAAAAACAAAAATGCATTAATCCCTAAACTAAAACAGTAAAATGGGACAAAAGAAAGTCCCTGTTTTCAAACAGTCATGTTTTCACATTTAGCTGTCCATTTGGTCGGCTGCTAAACCATTTGAAATAATTCATATTGAAATCATACTTTTTTGAGTTTAGGGCTCTTATTGGGTCATTTCCTATAACTTCAGCATTTGGGAAGAATAATTATTCCACATGATGTCACAGCCAAGTTGACCAAGAAATCTTTTTTGAATCCCCATTCTATTAATTACATATATAGTATAAAGCAGGTCAAGTAGCATTTTGATCTATAATAATTGCCTAATTAAATTCATTTTCTTGCTTTTTTTTTTTTTTTTTTTTTTTTTTTTTTTTTGTGCATGCATTTCAGATTCATGTAACAATTGCATAATTAAATTCAGGCATGAAAATGATTAGATTAAGTACCTGTGGGGCTTTGCCCTATAAATTTAAGCATTTGGAATAATGGCTACTTGACCAATTTGTGGAATAATACACAAAATTAGGGAATGTTTATGGCCCTCCTCGGTTTGATTTAATTACAATTGACCCCACTAGTTCGAAAAAAGAGGCAGGAACCATCCCTGAATTTGGAAACCATCATAAACCTCTGCCAATACATGAAAGATCTTCCCAGAAGTTTAAACGAAAACTCCTCAGCAGGGGAAGGTCTACCTTTTTCAAACAGGAATCTGCTTTTATAAAAGTCAAATTTCAGGGAAGTCTAAAAGAATTTACTGCAAGAATTATAACATAAGATATACAAGATACTGGACAAATTTATAACATTCACAAATAATTACTAGCTATTGCACTGGAAAATATATGTTTCATTTCAGTTTAGTTTAGTTTCATTCTGGAAATGTGGTTGCAATTTTATATCTTCAAAGACAGTTGTATTGTGCTGGCAGCAAAGCATAAGTCCCACTTCGTTGCTGTTGCCTATTGGTCTTTGCATGTGGTGCTTACTGGTCTTTTCTAGTTACAGTATTGGCCTATGTGATGTTTTAAATTCAATGAAGATCCTTTTCATAGGATTTATTAGACTTATTAGCACCAAACTGTAAGCTTAAGCTTTTGTTTATGTAATAATGCAGATACCACCAGAAACTGTCTCAAAGATGTTCAAGGAATCATACATACCTACTGAAAAGAACGAAAGAGTAGTCCTCAAGGCCAATCTCACAAAGACGCCACTGTAACAAGACCCACCAACAAAAGATAAATGAACAAACAGGAATTGTTAGTGGACATTGATGTGAAGCACATGCTGGAGAAAGTCAGACAAAACAACTCCACCTTTTGGCGCCTTGCCATTTGCCGCATCAGGAGCTCATTCCTTAGCCCGCTTTCAAGACCTTACAATTGTTGCTCTCAAAGCATTTAAAGATCGCATGGTTTTAATTAACTCATATATTACTTGATTCTTCCAAGCTGTCCAAATTCTGTAACACATATGCTTCATATCATTTGATGCAAATACAGAAGGACTAAAAGTAAAAATATTATCAAGCACCACAAAATACTATAACAGGAAACAGGAAAATGTTCCGTCTCTAAATCACAAATGTGATAGATCCAAAATCTATGTAATTGCTGATGAATTTATTTACAGATAAAAGAAATAATCATCTCAACATATTGCAATAAACAGCATAAAAAGTTAGCTTCAACAAATATGCGGTCACCAGTTTGGATGCCAGGAATGGTAACAGCAAGGTTTGGATCATAGGTTAATGGGTAAAGTGTTTGGGGAGGGCTGTGGTTAATGAGTTGGGTGAATTGGTGAACAGGCACTGTGTCTTTGACTTTAGGTCTGATGCTGGAGGAAGAACCTGCTCGGGAATTTGCGTGTTGATGGATGGCCTGGATAAAGGTTTGACAGTAGTCATGTGGAAGGGTATCCCAGGGTGGTTCTGTGGGATCATGTCTGGGCCAAAGAGATGGAGGGATATATTTGTTTATGTGGCACATGTGGGTTTGAAAGTGTTTAAGTTGAGGAAGGTGGAAGGACCAGTCTGTATGGAGAGAGAATGTGTGAAGACTATATTCTTTGAGGGTGCCAAGATGAATGAGCTCAGTAGTCATGTATGGAACTCGTTGAAAAGTGAAGATGATATGGGAGGTTGGAAGGTTGATCTTGGTGCAGAGAGTCTGTTTCCTTTGGAAAAGAGATTTCCAATAGGAAAGGGGGTGAAACCATTCAAGAAAGGTATGGAACAGATATTTAGGAAAACTGTCGGGATGTTGGAAGGGAATGTATGATTGGAAGTACGAAGCCATGTTTTGTATGGGGAATTCGATGGCTAGAATATGTTTGTAAAGGAGACACCACAGGAGGTATAAAAGGTGGGTGGAAAACATATGTGGGTCAGATATTTGGAAAAGGGTGAGGAAGGGGTAATGAGGGTGGTAATGCAGGCCACCAAGGGTTTGGAGTCCTGTAGCTTGAATAGATTGAAGCTGGTATTGTGATGTAAGGTTGGAAAGGTGTTGTTCCAGAGTATTATTTTCAAGGAGTGCTGGAACTTCGGGGGGTTGATCTGAAAATGGGTTCATCATGCATATTACAGGAATTGATGGTGGGTGGATATGGGTAATAAGGTGTATATAAAAGTTGGGCTAATTCTTGTTGGGCCAAAGCTAAATGTTCAGGATTCATACCAGGATGAGTGGCTTTAGTAGGGTTGATGTCTTCGTTTTTCTTGAAAGGAAGACTTGCAAAAAAGTCAGGGTTAAGCCGCAAAGAATGAGAACATTTAGTGAGGAATTCCGTATGGGAGTCAGCCGAACATTCTGAAACCAGTTGTTTGGTAATATCTGTGGAGAAAGGAGAGGGGATAGATAAAGTAGTGAAATAGTTTTGGGGCTGTTTATATGGTTGGAAATAGGACTTGTGTTTAAGGCCTTGGGGGGTAAAAGTAAATTTGGATTTAAGGAGTTGACTGAGAAGGTCCCATCCAACAACCATGTCTTTGTGAGGATGGTGGGATCCAAGGCATTCATGGGTAAGGATAAGGTTAGGGAAAAACTAGATCAGAATTGATTTACTGATAAGGTTGGTAGAAAAATGTTCTCCATTAGCAGCAGTGAACCAACGAATATGTGGATGCCAATATTCAGTAGGAAGGACATCAGGGTTAAGTATGGTTGACGTGGCACCAGTATCAAAAAGAGCCATGACCTTGATTGGTCGGTCAAACTTGGAGTTTAAGTAGAGTGTGAGCTCGACCATGGGGACTTGGACCGACAAGTTCATGGGAAAATAACCAAATTGGAAGGAACTGCTACTGGAATATTCATCCAGAGAAGAAGAATCGTCATCCATTACAGGTGGGATGGAAAAAAGATCAACAGCAAAAACTGTAGCAGGAGTCTGTTCTTCTGTCTCAGAATATAATGATTCGAGATCATGTTGATCAAGAGCAGGATCTGTGGCAATGAGTTGGTGTGCCAGCTTCTGTTTTTTGGGGCAGTTTTTGGCGAAGTGGCCAGGTTGCTTACAGAAGTAACAGCGACGGGTTTTAGGGGAACCAGATTGCTTTTTCTGAAAATAGGCTCGTCTTTTTGTTTTGAACCGGTGTTTGGGTTTTTTCCGAAAAGGTGGGTGGTCCTTAAAAAAGGACTGTTTCTGTTTGAATTTTCGGAAGTGTTTTTTCTTTTTGGTAGGACAATGGCAAGAAGAGCTTTTAGGGGAACATTTGAGAATGAGATCTGGCCGGTAGCACGACTTTTCAATCTTTTGACCAGTTTGTTTAAACTGGTGCATGAAGTTCCATTTGTTACAGAGACCTTGGAGGGCTTTTTCAATAAGTTGGCCAAGGTGGCCAAAAGTAACACTTTCCAAAGTAAGTCCATGCTGCTCTATTAAATGTTGTGTCTCTTGGGAAAGAGAGTCAGGAATAGAGCTTAGATAGGCTTGCTTAATATTTGGATCATCTGGACCGCCAATTTCATAAAACCGAAGAGAGGCCCGTTGGAAATGGGTCTGCAGGTCTTTGCGGTTAAAAGAGCAACACTTCAATTTAAAAAATTCTTCACGCAACTGATCAATCCGATTTTGACTGTCCCCAATAAATTCTTTGAGTATGAACCCAATAAATTGTTCAAGAGATTGGACCTCAATGACTTGCCGTTGTCTATATGGGCCAAGATTATTCCACCACTATTTGAGGATTCCCATAAATCTGGCGAGAATAGCTTCAAAAACATTAAGCAATGTGGCATTGGGCTTGATAAGTTCAGTTTGAGCCCAAGTGTATATCTCATGGATTTTCATGCGCCATTTAGAGGGATGGTGATCATCTAAATTGAACCAGGGACCAGAGGAGGGTGGAATATATTGGGGATAAAGAGGTGTGTACGGTGTGTATGGGGGTTCAGTGGTATCCATTGGGTCAGGTGGGTCTTCAACAACAGGTTCTGGTTGAGGAGCTGGTGGTGGTTGATGAGACCGGTTCATAAAAATGATTGGAGAATCTGATTCAGTAGATGAACTTTCATCTGATTCATCCGAAGAACTAGAGTCTGCGCCAACAGCAGAGTAGTGAATGGGGAGATTTTGGATTGGGATGGGATCCTGAAGAGTATGATGTGTAAGGAAATCAGTGATAGGGTTTGAGTCTGCCGAAGACATCATAAAATGGGTGGAGGCACCTGGTTGAGACGAAGAGGAAGGTCCTGCCTGAGGATCTGTAGTTCTAGGTTGCTTTGGAGGAGGAGGAACAGAGGTGAAAGGAGGTGTTTGTGGTGTCTGTGAAGGTGGAGATCTAGGCTTCCATGCCACGTGTCGGGTGGCTTGTCTAGAAGCCTGAGCAACTTGGGAGAAAACAGACATATTGGGTGAGCCATGGGAGAATAAGGGAGTACTTTGGAGTGGTTGAGTCACACGTGGACTGTGAAAAATGGAAGAGGGACCAACTGGTGGGGTCCATAAAGGACCAGATGAAGTTTCTCTGGGTGTTGGTTGTTGGGTTTGTTCAAGAGAGCTTAGCTGTGTTTTGAGAAAATTAATTTCTTGCTCTTGCCGAGAGAAATCCTCTTTTCGTTGAATACAAGAGAGAATTTCATGATGGAGAGAGGTTATGTGTCCACGTAATTCAGCTAGATTATCCTCATGGTTTTGTAGACAAGTATTTAATTGGGACTCAATTCGCTGAAGACAAGAGTTCTGTGCCACAGCATTCTGAGATTGCCAATTTAATACTGTCTCTGCAGGAGAAAGTCTAATGGGGGCCCCAGCGGGATCCACAGCAGTGGGATTTTTTACTTTCCAGGTATGGGAAGTCTAATGCCGCATTGCTCGAACCCAGGCACTCGGGTGGGAAGTTAGGCTCTGATACCATTTTTTCCTTATCAGTTTGCTAAATTGTTGAGAGCTAAAACTAATAACAATTGCAGACTGAAAAGCATCTCTTGTGATTGACTTGCAACATCAGATTATGACATCAAAATTTGAGTGCTGTAAGTTAATGGCCCCACTAATGAATGGTGTGCCCAAATGTAAGTCCAGTATTGATGAAACACACTTCAATCTCCTCAATNGTTGAGAGCTAAAACTAATAACAATTGCAGACTGAAAAGCATCTCTTGTGATTGACTTGCAACATCAGATTATGACATCAAAATTTGAGTGCTGTAAGTTAATGGCCCCACTAATGAATGGTGTGCCCAAATGTAAGTCCAGTATTGATGAAACACACTTCAATCTCCTCAATTTCAAATTAACATAAATGTAAAAACTCAAGCATTTGATCTTTGAAAAAGACAAGTTCTATTTTCTCAAAAATCGTCACTCACAGTACTATCCCCTACACCATTAAAGGAAGTGGACATTTTTAAAAAATTTACTACTCCCATATGTGAAGCTAATAGTAAAGGGTTAGCAAAAATATTCAAACTCTCACACACCCTTTGAGCTTGTGTTGGGATTCATCTGATCCCGACACACAAAAACAGTTGTGGATCTAAACACAAGCTCAACTTGTTCATATCTAATTAACAGAATTTGGGGATTTACAAGATTCAAACACAAGACACTTTGGTCAAATAGGATCTAAAAACATGCTTAAACAGCATAATCTAAAAGTCTAAGCTAAAAAACAAAAATCAAATAAGACTATTAAGACTCTAGCTGACAAAGATCTTCACAAAGCCTTACCACTCAAATAATAACAAAAACGTGTAATCTTTCACTACTTAGTAGCTGCCTTTCAATAAACACCAGATATAAGACAACCAGATATTCAACATCCATCCAACTCATGCAACATGAATTCATCATCCTTATCCATGATTCTTAGTACAAGATGGCTCATATTCAAAATGTAAATCTTTCAAAACTGATATAAAATGGTAACAGAAAGTTGTGTTCCAATCGTTTAGATAATTATCAGAAGGTTGAAGGAACAGAAAAATATGTGCAAGATCAACATTTCAGAGTCTAACAGATGGTTATGGTTTGCGATCAAAATATGGCTAGAAAACAAACTTTTCAGGCTCTTCCAGGATGTAGCAAACAGTCTTCCATGAACAGTAGATTGGTGGATTAAGGGGATTCAGGTTCTGAGTAAGAAAACTGAAGTAAAAGAAGTCAAAACCTAGCCAGCAACCTCAAAGCTTTGACATAGTCCAGCTGACCATCAGATTATTTAGAAGTAGTAATGGCACATTAAGCCACCGAATTTCATGTCTAAGCAAGAAAAATGGAAAATTTCCTCATTCATGGAAAAATCATAACCATTAGAAACAATCAAAAATTAGTGTAAAGCTGGAAATTCATAAGCAAGTGCAAAGTTAGCAATAATGTTTAGCTTTCGAATCAAGATCTAGTTGTAAGAATTATCTTTTAGAAATTCAGATTCATGTACGAAGAATAAAAATCATTGACCTACCTTTTTGCAATCCAAAAACAATGTGAGAGCAGAAATTCCTTGTGCGTCCAAAGATTTCTTAATTATTCCAGTTGTTCTGCAAGACTACAACAGCAAAAAATCATAAATGGATGCATATTCAATTAACTTAAAATTAGTCTATAAGATGTTCCACTCAATAGACACTTCTAATATTGGATTAACTTCTTCCCATCAAAGGTTTAAATGCTATTGTCACTAAAAGCCTATATATATTTATAAGTGAGTTACACATGCTTCTAACTTTTGGGATAATTTTTGACAACCGCAAAATTAGCCAACTAATACTTTGAATTCATGATAATGTTTTGCAAAAGTTCAATCTCAGTTTGGTTCAAATTCTTTAAGGCTGGTCCATAGCTGCTATGGTTCTTCCTAAGTTATTGGGAAACAGGGTTGGCCTGTGATAAAAGTTGCTTAAAGAAAAATCTTTTTCATGATAGGATCATAGCTGATCTCAATAATACCCAATTGACTTGGGTGGCTACATTAACCCTTCATCCAACAATTAGTCATTACTTCATTAAATCAGCACATCATCCTCACCAAACAAGGTGAAACTGAATGTTAGGATAACTTAAAACAAAGTTATTCATTGTGATTTCACAAGAGACTCAATAAACAAATCATAAATATGAACCAAGGATCAACAAGAATTTTAAGATTCTACAGAATAAAAATAAATAAATAAAAAATAATCTGAATTATTACACACTGAAATGTAATAAATATTAAAATTGCCAAGTGGAAAGGCGGATTGAGAGAATCATGAAACAGTAGTTTCTGGAGCTTAGCAGAAAAGTTCTGTTCAAATTCCAGAGGTAGTTCATTTAAAAGTTGAAATAAGACACGTTAAATTGCAGACAAATTTATGTCAACAGTTATATCCCTGATACAACTTCCTCGGGATGAAACCATGCATAAAAAATTAAACAACATAGGACAGAAATGATGCAAAAGAAGGTCAATCACAAAAAAAAAAAAAAAACACGACGTATGATAAAAATAGAATAAACCAAAAAATGTCAAGATGAACCAGTGTTTTAAGCGTTATAATCAACCTTCCAGCATTGAAGAATCTTTCAGTTCATGATGGAAAATCTTGAATTGCTCCACAATGCATACTATACTCTCAGGGTTCTTGGTAATTCTTGCAAGCATGGCTTCTGTAGCAACTAAAATGGGCCAGCATTACGATGAAGTTTGTTCTGTACTGTAGCTTGATTTCTTGCCGCAGTATGATTCAGAAATCTATTAAGTGCAACTTACCTGATTACAGCAAACCGAATGATAACAATGAAAATAAAATACAAGACAAACAAACAAACTGCTCCATGAAGTATTACCTTGAGATCATGAGGGATGTCATTCCGATGAGCAAGTCTCTAATCGAGTCAGAGGAACAGATGCAGTAAACTTGCTTAAAAGATGGTAAACGGATGGATCTTGCGAATAACAAGCACCTCCTAACATCATATGGAACAATATCATAAGGATAATAACAACAAAGAGATGCAATGACTACAGAACAGGTTGTAACAGATAAATAATAACACAAAAAAAATTTTCTTTATTCTTTTCCTTTACCCAATTAGGACAAAAAGTATGAACATATAATTAAAATTGAGGATGAAAAATGACACTTATAATTCAGATATTTGTTTAACAACTTGGTTCACTTTTTCTTAGCTCCAACATATGAGAATCCCACATTTTTTAATTTGCTCCCTTATTCTTTGTTTTTTAATTATGTAGTAAAAAATCCTATGATCCAAAGATCAGTGTTTAAAAGATTTTTTTTTTCCTTTTCCTTTTTTGGCTAGGAACAAGAATTTATCCAAAAGGAAGGAAACTTTGCCAACAAAAGTACAAGCTGTCCTAATCTATAGAAGGGTTCTAAAAACTATACAAAAAATATAAATCAGCTCTCACGATATAAAACAGTAAGCCCCAAAGAAAATAAATTACTTAATTAGGCTATCAAAGCTTCCTAGCAAAAAAAAATGTATTTGGAAAGGAATCTGTAGATGCTAACACTTTGCTCCACATAACTTCATAATTAGGAAAACAGCAATTAATTTCAAGAGAAAGTTTTCAGTAGCTTTTCATTTATCTGTGTTGAACAGAATTAATATCCCAGATTGATGATCAAAATAAAACCCGGCATCGAAACTAGCTAAGGAAATAAAAATTGAATTCTTGTTCAAAGTAAAGATTGGTTCAGTCTCTGATACATTTGACCCTATGACAGCTTTGTCTAACAAATTTAAATGCATGTGTTCTCATGTTAAAAATGAGTAATGCTACATAGAAAAGCCTTCCTACGAAGTATTTTATATGCAATGATGTAGTCACTAATGGATAATTGCAAAAACCATCTGTTTCGATTTGTTAATTTATTTTTAGCTTTTGTTCCTCCAATCATGTCATGGAACATCAGATTGCATAATTAGTTCATAGGTTTAGTATTATTCATCAAAGTTGCTGAATTCAAATCCCTTGCACAACCAAAATGAACCATGTTTGATCTTTAGAGTAAGAAAAGCAGAGAAAGTAAACCAAGTTACAGCTTTGATAGAAGCCAAAATGATTTTATTCGAGGATAAAACACATCATTTAAGTTTGTAACACTGATGACTAAACTCAATCTTACACTAAACACAAAACAACTGAAGTATAAAACCTTTGAGACAGGGTCAAAGAAAATTAAATTAATGTTGTTCACATTTGTATCAAAGGAAACAAGAGACTACCTGAGGTGAAGTATCTTTCCTACAGGAAATTCGTTCCAATTCAGGAATATAAGCCTTGAAATCTCAGCATGCCTATTCGGACGATGATGACCTCCATCTTCAAAGCAGGGGATTTGCCCAGTGTTTATCCACTGTATAAGAAGAATATGTAAGGAAAGGATACGTGAATAAAATCCCAGAAACAAACAGACAGAAAGTATCAGACACAACCTTCAGATATATAGCAGAGTATGTGAGAGCCTCCAACCGGTCCCCACTTTGCAGATTATCATCTAAAAGCCTACGCACTACTTCAAGCTTTCAACAAAGCAAAGACAGGACAAAGTTAATTTATGTTATTCTTTTATTCTACCTGACTTTTTGGTTGCTGCACCATGCAAAAGGGAAAAGCAATCCAATTAGCAAATGACAAAACATTTGAAAAACAAGTTTCCTCCTGCTAAGTAAAAAAGTTTAGTCCATCATAAACTTTGAAATCCACTATACAAAAGGAAAGCATCTAAGATATAAAACCATAGGAGGACAAGGCAAACAATATGAATCAAATATCCAACACACATATGCCAACAAAAGGAAAAAAAACGAAACAAACAACCATGCATACATGGCAACATACTCAATTTTCTCCTCCCCAGAATGACCAAAACTCAGAAAGATACGTACAATTAGGATACACTGGTTACCAGCATGTGGCTCCATAGAAGCCACAGAGCAACCAGGCAAAAAGCATTGTAGAACCAAGTCCCAAAAAGTTTCAGACTTCTGCTGCTCAATAGCAGCAACAATCTGCAGTGAGTGTGCAAAATCTTTGAACAAATGGTATATAAGCATTCTATTTTTCTGGAGGGAGTCAACAACCATTTCGTTAAAATGTCGTAATAGATCAATGGAAGCAATGAATTTTATTAGCAAGATAGCATCAATATTAAACAGCAATTTAAAATTTTCAGAAACTGTCACCTAGCAGTAATAACACAGAGAAAGAGAGTATCAAGAAATGTGGAGGAGAAGAGAATGACATTCAAATCACTGCCTCACTTCCAAGATGCATCTATCCGTTTAGGTGTACTCGTAATTCTCTTCAATTTCGCCCTTTTACCATTAAATCATTATGAGTGTGGTAGAAACATTTAAATTTGGAAGTACAGCTATGCATTTGATAAACAGGTCATATTTTTCCCTCTGCCTATCCTGCAAACACAGCGGATAACACAACCCAAAGAGCAAAATATGAAAATTGAATAGAATGAATAATATAAACTAGTGCAGATCACAAATACAAGAGCTAAGTGTGTGGGGTCTTGAAAATTTTCAATTCTGATGAAAAATGCAGGCAAAACAGGATACAGAAAGCATACCTTTCCACCAGTTTCTTGCATTCTGATCATTTTCAACTAACTTTAGAGCTAAACCCTCAAGATTTGAAGTGTCCCATTTTCTATCTGATTCTCGGTTCCAATTCTCATTTGAACGCATAAATGAGCAGCTTCCCCTGCCATTGCCCACAAAAGGAATGGTCTCCACCTCCAGAAGGGGTCTGCAGCAGAAACGGTTATGTAGATTTTATCTCACCAACATCTCTGGTATCCTCCTATTCTCCTGCACACTCAAAGGAACAGATCCACAGCCTCCCTGTCTCATTCCAGTGGTAGATTATCCAAAACTCCCTCCTACTGGCAGTTTCAAGATCCTGTTATCACCGCTTTCCCATACCATACTCTTATCCTTCCCAAACAATCACGAACTTATACTCAATACTCTCTTCCCCCTTCAGTTTCAAGTCACACACCCATCCACTTTCACTCCAATTCATCTTCACTGCCTTCTTCCATAACCCCAATTCTTTAACCGATCCCAAAATCGCAACACTCTCCCCAAATTCAACTTGATGATCTAACCTAACATTTAATCTCACATTGCCACTTCCTGACTTAGATTTCATTTTCATCTTCTTCTTCTCTTCCTCTCTGACACACATTAACCAAACTCATCATCTCATATTACCAATTCTCAAAGCCATAGTTATTTGTTGCAAATTTTTATAGTTTTACAATTTCAAGAAAGTAGATATTATTCATTTCATTGAAATAAAATTCAGGACCATAAAGAAAATTACAATTTAAAACTGATGCTTCCTAGTTAACATAATCACATCATAAACTTACAACAATTGCATAAAAACCAACAAATTCAAGAGAAGCCGTCATTTGACAAACCTTGTTTCAGTAGAAGAAACGCCACAAACAACACCAGAAAAGTGTTTGCGTGATTGGTGAAGATGAACAGGAGAAGAAATTCTTGGATTGAAGAATAATAAATTAGAGTGTACGAATTTGAGTGGTTTTGGATGATGGAGGAAAGTTGAAGGGCGGTTTAATGTACGGAGATGAAGAGAATCCATTTGGAATGGGAGAGAGAGAGCAGTGGAGTTGAGTTGAGTGAGATGTGATCAATTAGAGCTGGTTTAAGAAAATGGAAAATTACACGTGTAATGTACTCAATGTACATAAATTATCTAGCTTTGATCTTTTCTTTGTTTTGGAAACTAGTGAAGTGAAGATCCCTTGCTTTTCGTCAGAGTTTTGAATGTACATTACAATGTAGCTTTTTGAAGCACGAAGAAAGGCCTTCCCTTCATTTATGGATATTTACGTATACCCCACGTGACTCACCACTCTAAATATCATACAACCAAGTCTTCATTGGATTTTATGCTTTAATAAAATTCTTTATGGTTAATTTAAGGGCTATTATTTTACGTTTTTATTTTCAAAAATAAATTTGAGAATGAAAATAATAAGTTCTATTTTGGATTTTCAAATTTTGAAAATGTGTTTATTTTTTTTTAAAGTATTTGAAATTAAAAACAATAAAAATGTGTTTTTATTTGTTTCCTTATGATAAATATATTGTGGTATATGTATTAGAGAATGAAAATATAGGAACAATGATTTTATATTTGTGTGTTTTCAAACTTTTAGTTATATATGAGATTTTATGTTTTTCATATTTTCAAAATAATGAGTGAACAAGTATTATACCTATTACGAGATAAAATAGAGATTAGAGAATGAAAATAAAAACAAAATAAGCAAACCGTTACGTATTTCATAAATGTTTGATCAAAATGAATATATGACCTTAATTTTTAGGGTGTGTTTGGATCGTGGGCATATAAGATAACGGGAGTAATCTTCGTTTATTTTGCAAGATTTCAATGTTTGGTTAACAAGTAATAAAATATTACGAGAATCTTTTATTGCAAATAATGTTTACTGTTTAGTAATATGGAGGGAAAATTTTTCTAAGTGTTTTGCTCTCGACTCGTTCTCGCTATCGGAACTTTGCCGGCTTCTTCCGGGCGCGTCCGGTGTCGGAATTGGACGATCCACCCACCGTTGGAAAGAGTATTGAACGAGCTTTCTAGTTGTTCTATCACTGCTTGTGGTCTCTGCTTCGTTCGCTGGGATTTGGCCGTGAAAGTTCACGGAATCTACAGATCTGTTTGTTCTTGCTACCGGAACTTCGTCAGCTTGTTTCGAGCCCATCCAGTGTCGGAATCGGACGATCCACCCGTCGTTGGAAAGAGTTTTAAACAAGCTATCTAGTAGTTTGATCACTGCTTGTGTTTGCTGCTTCGTTTCACTGGGATTTGGCCGTGAAAGTTCATGGAATCTGCAGATTTGGAGTTGCTTTCGCAGTGGGTTTCTCGATCGAAAATTGCAATGGAGTGCCACAACTAACTCTTTTGGGCAGGATCTACAATCCCCACGGCTGTTTGCACCTTGTTGACCTCTGGTTCCTGGAAAAACTTGATGTTTTTTCCTAGGAACGTGCTGTTTTGGTTGGGTTTCTTTGCCCATTCGTGGACTTGTTTTTGGTGTGTGTTTTGGTGTGATTTTCTACAGTTTTCTTTTTTTTTTTTTTTTTTTTTTTTTTTTTGTGGTTTGTTGCTGGTTTTGATTGTTGCAGATTCCTGAAAAACGTGGTTGCATTTGGTTCGATAAAAGTCCTTTGCAAGCCTTGCGCGCCCCCCAACGCTCAGCACACCAACACACACGCCTGATGCTGCCTTCCCACTCCTTGGCCCTCCGGACCACCTTCCCCTTTCCAACACCAAAACCTCTTCACCTTTGGCATTTTTTTTCACAAATCCTCGCTGTTTTGAACTTTTAAACTCACTTAAATCACACATTTTTTTCCTGCCACCAAGTGTTCGACAAAATGTCCGAACCAAATCCCTCACTCCCAAATAACCCCATGCCGCACCCAACCCAAGCCAAAACTTTAAACACTGCCTCCATCAGCTCCTAGCAGCCACAAACTTCTGGAAATTTGGGGAAATCTTTATGGATTGGAGATTTGGAGCCATGGATGGATGATAAGTATTTGTTATCCGCTTTCTCAAATGTGGTGATTCAAGGAGCCAAGGTTTTTCATCACAAAAACTCTTCCTTTGGTTTTCTTGAGTTTGAATCTAATGATATTGCAGGTTCGTCATTACAATCTTTTAATGGCTTAAAAATGTCGAAGTCTAAGCATCTTTTCAAGCTCAATTGGGCGTCTTCTGAGCCCCCGTGAAAAAAAGCCAATCTCTAAGCCAGTTTTAGAGAAGAAAAGTATAGGTAAAAGCACATCAAAAGTGTCCTCCTCTTGGGCGGATAAGGTTAGAGTGACAGAGGTCGGGTCCCACTTCACCCTTGAAGCTTTGGACCTTGATATTAAGGATGGCATTTTACATATCCCGGATGATGTTATTAATGACAATGATGTTGAATGGCTTTGCTGTATTGTGGGTTATTTCCCAGGGTATTCTATGTCATTTCATGCTACCCGCTTAATTGCTTTCTGTCCATGGGAAGCTGCGGGGTTGGAAGATGTTATGTCCACTGGTATTGGTTTTTTCATCTTCAGATTTAAGGATGAGGATGCAGTGCATTCAATCCTAGAGAGAGGGCAGTGGATGTTTGGGGCAAGTCTATTGTTCTGCAACAATGGCATGCTCAATTTTCTTTTGATAAAAGTCGCATCTCCAAGGTTCCGATATGGGCTCATTTGCATGGGTTGCCTTATCCTTTGTGGTCTCACAAAAGACTATGCATGGTTTCTTCTATGTTGGGTCTGCCGTTGTCAAGTGATAAGACAACTTCTGAACGGACCCGTTTAGATTATGCTCAGGTATGCGTTGAGATAGATGCAGCAAAGCCTCTAAAGCGTCATTTTGAATTTCAATGCCGGTTATCTACTGAACCCATTCAGATTACAGTGGAATATGAGTGGACCCTCAAGAGGTACCCCAAATGTTGTGTTTTTGGTCATGTTTGTCACCAACCAGAAGTACCTACTACAACTATGGCTCAGGGTAAGAGTAAGATAGTTACTAGCTTCCAGAAAGGCACCAGGGAAAGCTATTGCACTGCGATCTAAGGACAGCGAGCCTTTGAGGCAGCCAGCTAGCCACTACTGATCCCATTAGGGAGAGGGAGAGGGAGCAGGAGCGGGAGAGGGAGAGGGATGTTCCCGCACCAGCTAGAGTTTCAATTCCGAGTACAGTTAGAGATGGGGATGCTTCTTTGGCTCTAGTCCCGTATCAGTAGACTGTTCGTGCTAGCAGAGGTGAATTTTCTAGCTTTGAATGGGGGTCGGAACATGATTCACCTTTTCCTATTGAGGATGAGTAGGACCGCATTATGGGTTTCACAAATTGCACGCTAAACACTCAGGTTTCCTTTATGAGTTCTGGGAGTAGGTAATCTACTTCCTCCAACAGGTTTGCCTCGCTTGTTCTGCATAGGGATGATCTCCAGACACCAGATGTTACCTTATCTGGATCAGTTTCCTTGCCACCCCTAGTAAAGGGGAAAGGTTGGGGAAAGCAGGGGCTTCAGCTCAAGTGATTTTTTAGCTTGTTTCTATCCCAATTCCAATGATAGGGAGTTGGAATATTAGAGGCCTTAACGACTTCTCGAAACAGTGCGTAGTGAGGAATTGGATTTCTACCTCTTCTTTGGGTTTGATTGGTTTGTTGGAGACTAAGGTTGAGTAGTCTCATCTACAGTCCGTGGTTTCAGCAGTTTGTCCTTCATGGTGGTTTTTGCCAAATGCGACGGATTCTATTGCCTGCCGAGTTCTGGTATGTTGGGATCCTTCTCTTTACTCTGTAAATAGCCTTCATTGCTCTTTTCAGGAGATTACTTACAGGGTTACTCATGTTTTCGAGAGGTTCTCCTTTGGGATTACTTTTATGTATGGTTCTAATGACCCTGGGAATCGCCGCAATTTGTGGGATTTCCTTAGGGATCAGTCGACAGAGTTTGATTTGGAGGGGCTCCCGTGGCTTGTGTTGGGTGATTTTAATGCCATCTTGGGAGCCTCTGACAAAGTGGGTGGTGATCCTGCATGGTATGGTTATATGGATGATTTTGGCCAATGTATCCATGATACTGAGTTGATTGGGGTTCCTTTTACTGGGCTTCGGTATACTTGGCATAACAGTCAGCAAGGCGATAGGATTATTTTACGGAAGCTCGATTAGATTTTTGTATCGCTTTCTTAGTTCCTTGATCGATCGAACACAGTTTCAGAGTTTCGACCTCTGGATGTCTCAAATCATAGCTCTATGGTTGTCCGGTTTGGTCCCTGCCGTGGCAAGGTACCATCCCCTTTTAAATTTCTAAATTTTATGGATATTGTTCAGGCAGTTTGGGACGAGCCTATTGTAGGAAATCCTATGTTTCATCTTACGCAGAAATTAGGGTTATTGAAACGGAAGCTCAAATCTTTACATAGGGTTTCCAGCCATATCTCCAACAGGGTAATTGAGGCCTAGGCTCAATGGCAACAGCCCAAGAAAATTTGGACCGGGACCCCCTTTCTACTAAGTGTATCTTTAAGGAGAGGAACCTTGCCAACCAGTATTTCAGTCTTTGTCGAGATGAGGAGGCTTTTTTTAAGCAGCGGTCTCGTGTTCAGTGGCTGAATTTAGGGGATTAGAATTCTAAGTTCTTTCATAAGTCGTTGATCCATAGGCAGGTTCGGAACCACATCCACGGTTTGACTGATGGGAATGGTACCCATATTAGTAACAGTCAGGGTTTAGGGTGTTTGGCGGTGGGTTTTTTTTAGGATCTTCTTACTGCCCCTACTGAACCTCAGATCGCAAAGGCTTCCAGGTATTTTTCTGGGCGCATTTCTCCTGATATGATTTCTCCCTTGAATGCTCCTATCACTGATAATGAGATTAGGATTGCTTTATTATCTATCCCGGATGATAAAGCCCCTGGTCCGGATGGATACACTTCTTTATTTTTTAAGCGGGAATGGGATATTATTAGTACAGATTTTAGAGATGCAGTGAGACATTTTTTTGCTACTAATGAAATGCCAAGATGTGTTAATGCCACCAAGATTGCTTTGGTTCCTAAGGTGTAGAGCCCGAGTCATATGACAGACTTTAGACCGATATCTTGTTGTAATGTACTTTACAAGTGCATTTCTAAGGTGAGAGTGAATCGGTTTAAAGTAGTGCTTCCGGATGTTATTGGGAGTTCCCAGTCAGCTTTTGTCCCAGGTCGAAGGATTTCTGATAATAT